CGGTATTCAATGTTTAAAGATGCTTACACGACAATAAATACAGTAGTTCGAAGGAAGTACAAAAGATAAAGTTGTTATATATGGTAACATAGACGAATAATAGAAAAGGAAACACTACATTTAAAAGTCAGTTATAAAGAGATTGCATTACAAGGTTCTGTAAAGAGTAGGGTCAACATTACAAGGTTCTATGTAGAGTAGGGTCAACATTACAAGGTTCTGTATATAGTAAGGTCAACATTACAAGGTTCTATGTAGAGTAGGGTCAACATTACAGGGTTCTGTATATAGTAAGGTCAACATTACAAGGTTCTATGTAGAGTAGGGTCAACATTACAAGGTTCTGTATATAGTAAGGTCAACATTACAAGGTTCTATATAGAGTAAGGTCAACATTACAGGGTTCTGTATAGAGTAGGGCCAACATTACAAGGTTCTGTAAAGAGTAGGGTCAACATTACAAGGTTCTGTATACAGTAGGGTCAACATTACAAGGTTCTGTATAGAGTAGGGTCAACATTACAAGGTTCTGTATAGAGTAAGGTCAACATTACAAGGTTTTGTATAGAGTAAGGTCAACATTACAAGGTTCTGTAAAAAGTAGGGTCAACATTACAAGGTTTTGTATAGAGTAGGGTCTACATTACAAGGTTCTGTATACAGTAGGATCAACATTACAAGGTTCTGTATACAGTAGGGTCAACATTACAAGGTTCTGTATAGAGTAGGGTCAACATTACAAGGTTCTGTATAGAGTAGGGTCAACATTACAAGGTTTTGTATAGAGTAGGGTCAACATTACAAGGTTCTGTAAAAAGTAGGGTCAACATTACAAGGTTCTGTATAGAGTAGGGTCAACATTACAAGGTTCTGTATAGAGTAGGGTCTACATTACAAGGTTCTGTATAGAGAAGGGTCAACATTACAAGGTTCTGTGTAGAGTACAGTCAAAATTACTAGGTTCTGTATAGAGTAGGGTCAACATTACAAGGTTCTGTATAGAGTAGGTTTAACATTACAAGATTCTGTATAGAGTAGGGTCATCATTACAAGTTTCTGTATAGAGTAGGGTCAACATTACAAGGTTCTAAGCTAATTGTTCACTGTTTTTGGGATTTAAACATTTATGATAATAAAAAGTATGTGAGAAAAAGAAACACAAACATATTGAAAAACAAATTCATTGACGTCATTGTTATTAAAATGGAAATAGTTGCAGATTGTTCAACTCTTTCTAGCGATACATGTATGAACTCTACTATATAGGAAATATTTTATAGGAGTTTGAAATTGAAAATAATCTATTTACTTTGGGATAAACTTTATTTATAATTTTATTTGTGACGTTGGTTTGCTGTCTATTTGACTTATTACCTAAATATCCTTTAATCATATGTATTGGAGTGTTTTATTTCACTGTATCGTTGAGGTCAGTATTGCTTTCATGTAAAGATAGTTGGATGAAGTAGATAAGTTGAGTAGTTCCCAATAACAGATTATTGGGGTTGGTGTTGTCTTGATATTAATTTTTCGTTAAATAATCCACAATAGTCTATATATATTGCCGAAACAAATGCAAAGGAACTTATTCTAAATTAATCAAACCAAACAGCAATAATTGTCCTTTCCTAAATTTAAATATTTTAATTTTAAACGGGAAACTCTACACAAAAGGGGAAATGTGTTGTCTCCTATTGTTAATTTCTTTTTTCTGGACGGAGACGTTCCTTTGGCACCGTCTTATGGTGTTGATATGTCCCAACTCGTTCGCTATGTCCGTGTCTGTGGTGACGTTTTGGATTTCAATGAACTTAATTAATGTATTACTGGTAACTTGTTAAGTCAATGGTTTCGTTACCACGATTTACTTCATACCTTTACTAAAGATTTAGCTTTAAAGTTTGGCTGTACATGTGGAAAATTTAATATAAATGGGATAGCACATCCTAATTTTTACGAGCCCGTAAATTTACCTAGGATCCGGGTAAACTTGTCGATCCTTTAAATAAACTTATTCTAAAAGCTTACAAATTCAACACTGTTTTCAGATCTTTGAATATTGTTTTTATTGGAATAAATATTGATTTTTTTCTCAATAAATCAAAACCCAACTGAATAGTATTAATATAAACATTCACGGTCCTGCAATATGTCGTTACTTATATTTTGGCATTACACAAGGTCATGTTTTTTCTCTGACCACTGTTAATGACTGTTAAAGACGAATTCTATACTAAATACTTAATTTATTGGATATATGATTTTTGTATGCGTTGTTTTTGTCTTTGAACTTGCTTTCAGTATCTTCAGCTAGTGCTTTCAGATCTGTTCTTTATGTCGTTTGGTTGTTTTTCATTTTTTTGTTGTTGTTGTTTTTTGTCCTTTTTATCGATGAGTTAAGCCCTTTTCAACTGATTTTTATTGTTCTTATGTTGTTGTGTTACACCAATGTCCAAGGTCAGATTGAGGGTTGGCGAGCCAGGAAGTATGTTTAAACCTGTCCATTTCTGTATGTGCTTGTCCCAAATCAGGAGCCCGTAATTTAGTGGTTGTCGTTTGTTGTTGCATATCCTTTTTTTTTTCGTTTATTGTTTTGTACATAAATCAGACCGTTAGTTTTCCCCATTTGCATTATTTTAATTTGTCCTTTCGCAGCAAAGTATAGCTTGCTATGTGGTATGGGTTTTGCTCATTGTTGAAGGCCGTCCGAACGGGGACCTGTTGTTGCTAACCTACGTCATTTGATCTCTGGTGGAAAGTTGTTTCATTGGTAATCATACAACATCTACTTATTTTTTTAGGATGAAGGTTATGTTAAGGTTGGGACTGTTCATTTGATATATGTTTAAGTATTCCTGTGTCTCAAGCATCATCAGTGACGCTCAAATAAAAAAAGTTAAAGGCCAAATTAAGTACGAAGTTGAAGAACATTGAGGACCGAAAATTACGAAAGTTTTGGCCAAATATAGCTAAGGTGTTTCCCGGGTTAGAAAATCCTTAGTATTCCAAATACAGTTAGTATAATTCCCGGGTTAGAAAATCCAATTCAAGTTTTGTAATCAGCTAATTTATAAATATGACCATTTCAATGATATGCCATGTCAAAACAGACGTGCTGACTGGAATCTTCAAAATCATCAGCCTAGTAGAATTGACAAGACATGTCATTGATACCCTTAATATAAATGCAATCTAAATCTTATAAGAAATGCAGGCTTGATGTGTCAAGCCTTTTTCAACTGATTTTTAAAGTTAGTTCTTATGTTGTGCTGTCACACTACTGTCTTAGGTTAGTGGGAGGGTTGAGCGCTCGTTTAACGCAGCCATATTATGTATAGAGCTTGAAGTGCAGTGGATGTCGTTTGATACTGTCTTTCCTTTCTGTTTTTCAATTATTTTTTAAACATAAATCAGGTCTTTCGTTTTTTGGTTCAAATTGTTATACATTTTGTTATGCCTGGTTCTTTTGTAGCTTACTATACGTTATAGGTTTTGATCATAAATGAAAGTGGTACGGTGACCTATATGTGCCTACATCTACGTCTTATTGTCTCTGGTGGATAATAGTCTTATTAGCAATTATATCACATCTTCTTATTGTTAGATGGAGAGCAATTACTTAACAAATTTTAATAGAGTTTAAATTTCGAAAGAGAATATCTCCCTTACAAATATTTAATCAATACTGATTTTTAAAACTAGTACGAGACATTTCTAATAAAAAACATTGATTGGAATTTCGTAAAAATCTTACAAGACATTTAAGCACGAAATTGTTTACATTTAGCCTGACGCACTGCCGGACGCCAGGTTTTTGCAGAGCACTCAATTTACGATTTGCGACATGATCTCTTGATAGATGCGTCATTTATTCATTTTGTTGGTGTGGAAAGAGGGTCGAAGTTCTTACGTATTCGGTGAACGGCATGAACAAAATATTTACAGAATCAAGTAAACTTGATGTTAATATTTTAAGAAAGACAATAGTCGGATCTGTTTCTCTAGATGATACTCAAGCGAACTGTGAAGCCTTTTGTTTTCATCCATCGCGCAAGTTCTCTCTTTTTGTACGTCAAAATAGCAAATTGATTGAACGGCTTTTTATAAACGAAATTGGTCTTATAACGTAAACGTTTTACAAACAAGTGAACAAAGTAGACTTAGAATCTAAACATTTGAAGTTCATAAAGGACTTGGTATGAGGACGACAAAAGGAAAACAATGTCATCTAATATGTCATACTTGACCAAGGAAAACAATGTCATCTAATATGTCATACAATGACCAAGGAGAAGCAATGTAATCTATGTTTCAATTCACTTACAATGATCGTACGTTTGTGAGTAAAAATTCCGTCCATATATCAAAGCAGTGAACAAGTATTCAACAGAAGAAAAAGAAAACACATTTGGCAATATTATACAATTACACTGATATCACAATTGTTGTATTTAACATTGGTTATATACCTGTGAGACAGCAACTCAAATACAAAAAAAAGTCATCTAGTCAAGAGGTTACCATTAGGTTTTTCCAAAACAAACAGGTTGGTGTTTTATTTTTTGTATGATATCCTAATTTTTAAAAAGTTTGTACAAAGTATGTATAATATTTCAAATAGTTGGTGTTGACAAAAAATACTGACTTATTAATTATTAAATATTTTGATTACAGGCAGTATAAAATATATTCCAATGCTGTGTTGTGTCACACAACACAGCATTGGAATATATTTTATACCGATTGAGAAAACAAAAACGAATTATCTCAAAATAATAAGGAAACCAAAGGTGAAACATCTACTTCAATTCCTTATTTCATCTTTAAAGAGATTTTATTCTATTTTTCCTGTTTTTATCTTTCAAATACTTTACTTATATTAAACTGACAATCAACACTTATCACTTATTTTTATTGTTTGTTGTTTGAATAATAGGTGTTATGTGATTAGGAATTTGAACTTGTTTTATTCAATGGTACATATTATATCAAATACTCACTAATTATACAATTTGATATCGGGGGTCCATATTTTTGAAGGCGGCAGGTGAAGCTCTGTTACACCTTTATATTCAGAAACGTTCCATGTAAGATATTTGTCATGCCATTTCTGTAAATTAAAAAAAATCCAATCGTTAAAATAATAAAATGACTCATTTGTACAGTAAGCGATCGTTAAATATATTGGTAGAAAAAAGTTAAGGATAACTTAGAACTTTTATATATTTAACTTTTTTTGGTCTTGATTGGACCTGTTGGAGGTATAGTTTCATAAACATTTATGGTGCGCATGGAAATAATATAACAAGCCTCGAGCGTGTCTATACGTGTATGTGTGTTTAAGTATTAAAAAAGTATAACAAAAATACCGAACTGGAAGGCAAATTCAAAACCGGAAGTCGATAAAAACTGACTAATCCAAACGCTATCATTCAACGGAACAACTGAAAAACAACTGCTTACGTTTTTAGCTTCTGTACGATTTTCCATGTATTATAAACTGTTTTCATATAAAAAATACATTGTATATATATTAAATATAATGTAGCTCCTTTGCTGCCTTTTACCATACGAGACATAATGAATATATATTAACAGACATAAGACCATCAACGATAAAATTTAGTCTGTTCCTGGTTGATGTAATTTATCATAAAATCAATTTCATACTTTATTGTCTTGTAAAGTACCATACTATTACCAAGACTGTAAACGTTAATTGTTTTCAAGTGATTTATCACTGACCATACAACTGTACGACTAGTTTTAATAGCATTGTTTGAGAATTTCCTCTTTACATAAGATTATGTGTCAAATTCATTTCTTATCAAAATATGTTCACAGGAAGAAGAGCTAGCTATTATATGCAACCAATAGCTAATTAGATATAGACAAGTAGCTTTGCTCGACCCGATTTTCCAAATTTCGCGTAATGCCAAAAGCAGCCACCGATGTCATTTTATTGGATTTGCATATTTTTTTGTCTTGTTTAAAAATTTCTTTCGGATATAACACATGTCTTCTGTCGGTTTTAGCGTGAATACAGCTAGGACTCGCGATAAAGAACAAAACAGATTTTATGCATTTACTAACAGGCACTTGACACTGAATTTGTATATATATACATGTATACATACAATATATACCTAATATAACCAGAGACATATATACAATGTGTAAATATGTCTCTCATATAACATAATAAGGTAAACATTACATTTCGTTTCAGGGACAAGTGCTTGTGCTTCTATCATGATAATTCAATCATTAATACGAACAAAAGGAGATATGGGTATACGTGAATGAGTCAGCATCTCAAAAAACACAACAAAGATCAACCTATCTTAACGTCAATATGTCTATCTATTATGATTCCGTAGGAGATATACCAATGAAACCCAATGCCTTCTAACAAAAAAATGCAGATAAAGATTTTGATGTTGATCTTGTACTTTAAGACACTATTAAACAATCAGCCCCAAAAACAAATAAATCAAGGTAAAGGCTATAAACGTCAGTCTATCGTCACATGTTTTTTTATTTATACTTTGCATTATTGTGTCTTTTAGTTTAACAACGTACATACGTCTAGAAAGGCAATAGGAGAGATATGTGTTCACGTAAAAATAGTTTAACCCCAACCCTTTTTTTTCCATGTACCTAGTCAGGATATGTAGAACATGTGTTGTTTGCGTATGTTTATACGTGTATACATGTTGGATTTGGTAGTTTTCTATCTTTTAATTTGCGTTTCCACTTCTTTCTAATATATATCTTGTTTAGCAATATATACCTACATGATCTACCCAGACATTCAGTGTCAAAACTTGTTCCTTCTCATCTAAGTCGATTATTTGTATCAACTGTAAGCCAAATTCTATTTTAATGATATCGGTGAATTTTTCTACTGGTCTACTTAAGGTTCCTCGGTATTCATATTGTTTTAATTTTTTATGAATTAATCTGTCTTCTTCTGTTAATTCTACAATATCATCATAGCAAGATCTCTGGTTTCTGCTATGTCTCATTCTACCTATAAATGGAAAAAGTTATTATAATAGAGCAACTGTTAAAACATGTATTTATGAAAGTACGATAAAATGAATTACAGATATGCATATCATGAAAAATAAATAAATCTGGCCATAGCGATTTCAATAAAGCATAAATTTATCAAACTAAAACAAAATACTGCATACACTAAAACGAAAATAATTCAGTTACACGTACCTACGATGTGGAATAAAGGCAACCAAACATATTAGTTATTAGAATACTAAAGAATTAACATATGACAGTTGTTATCCATTCGTTTGATGTGTTTGAGCTTTTGACTTTCCCATTTGATTAGGGACTTTCCGTTTTGAATTTTCCTCGGAGTTCAGTATTTTTGTGATTTTACTTTTTTTTTTATTTGCACAATTATGCAGAAAGGTTGCTGTTTTTTGTTTGTTACTTTTTTCGTTGGGTTGCTGTTTCATTGACGTATACCCTCCATCTCATTTTATTTATAACATTGATAAAAGCAACACGATGATCTGGTCACATAATGGAACTTGGTCAAACTCGATTCCATTTAATGGACAGCAAGACAGACATCAATCGAGGAAAAATTGAAGGCATTACGGCGATATCACTTGAAACATCGTTAATTACATTAACGATACCAACTTTAATGAACTAGATGTGCATTTTGACAATAAATGTCTCTTCGGTGATGCTCGAGTCCAAAATATTTGAAAATCCAAAAAGTTAAGTCGAGGCTTAAATGACCAAACGTGAATAAAAACAAACTGTATGGCATGAAATTCAAGCGATGCCAGACCATGCAGATGTGTTAACTCTATACACATCCCTACCATGTATGCATCATTCTTCACACGTTTTTAAAGTCCAATAATGTTACAAATTTCAAATCCGGAGACATAGTAAAACTCATTAAAGATACAAGGCTTATAACTTAGTACGACATACGTTCATTTCTTCCACTTGAGACTCGCCAGTGGTGCTTCAATCAGCACAGTTGGAAGGTCAAATCAAATACAATGTTGGAAGAGCATATAACATAAAAAAATAACAAAATGCTGTGTTTGATCTAGCTAAGTTCATCCATGCATGAGAGTAGAGAACAGTGTTTCAAATAATTCGACATTTTACACTAAATTTACAGTATATGTCCGTAGTAATGATACAGGAGTGATGAGTGCTAGGCTTTCAATACCCTCGGTAAGGACACTTAGTGACATCGAACTACGTCTTTTGTCTTCAAACAAAGAGCAACAACGTCAGATTGGCAATATTGGAAATGTAGAATCAATGATAAGGTCAAAATGTCTCAAATAAGTGGAGAAACAAACAGCTTAAAATCATGTTTAATCCACCATTTTCCATATAGGAAATGCCTGTACCAAGTCAGGAATATGACAGTTGTTTTCCATTCGTTTGATGTATTTGACCTTTTGATTTTGCCATTTGATAAAGAACTTTACGTTTTGAATTTTCCTTGGAGTTCGGTATTTTTGTTATTTTACTTTTTTCTATTCGCATACGAGATGTCAAACGTAAATTCTATTCGTTATTCCTTGCCTCGCTGTATTAGTACTTTTATTTCAAAGTAAACCACCATTAGTGATGTGATTTTGTGAGAAAATGTTTACGCATATTGTATGATCTGTGAACGCTAAAAGCATTGGCATATCATGTGTTACTATTCACAAATGTGAAGTTGACAACAGGAAAACTAAATAATTGTGTTTACCATCAGCGTCATATCAAAGAAAAGATCAAGACATACATTTGTTCATTTTATTTCTGTAGTATCGTAAATTCAAATTAAATAAGAAGCGAGCATTCACTTCAAAAAGAGTTTTGCTTGCAAGAACACGATCAATTTCTGAAATTAACATGTTTTGATACATGTTTTTTCTTTGCCTTTTATATACTTATTACGAACTTTACGATTTATAGGATTAAAAGTTCAAAAGATTTGCACAATGAGTTCTTGTTTAAATAAAAACTAATATTAATCAACCAAACACAACACATAATTAGTCCAGTATTATGACATTGTATCGATGGATATGTTATTGGAATTAGTTTGTTTAAATTAGAACAAAATATGGCATTGGGTTTTCCATTCGTACAAAAGAAAATGTGTTTTCCATTCGAATAGAAGAAACTGTGTTTCCATTCGTATAAAAGAAAAGATGTTTTTCCATTCTCAAAGAGAAAACGTGTTTTTCCATTCGTAAAAAAGAAAATCTGTTTTGTGATAATAATTCTAAAAAAAATTTCATTTAGAATGTGAAATTATAGTTTTAGATGTATACAATTCGACATTTTGACATATTTCCACTTTCATTGTCAGCCCTTAAAAATACAATTAATTTCTGGCTTCCAATTACCAATAGTGACAATAATGTAAAGAAAGCATATAGTGAAAACTTTATATAGATATAAGAAGATGTGGTACGAGTGCCAATGAGACAACTCTCAATTCAAGTCAAAATTTATAAAAGTAAACCATTATAGGTCAAAGTACGGTCTTCAACACGGAGCCTTGGCTCACGCCGAACAGCAAGCTATAAAGGGCCCCAAAAATTACTAGTGTAAAACCATGCAAACGGGAAAAACAACGGTCTAATCTATATATAAAACGAGAAACGAGAAACACTTATGAACCACATCAACAAACGACAACTACTGAACATCAGATTCCTGACTTAGGACAGGTGCAAACAAATGCAGCGGGTTTAAGCATGTTACCGTTTCTTAGCACGACACATACCTCTAGGCACATCACGATTCACTCGCATAGGGATTTGTAAATGAACATTTGTAAACATGGTAAAGATATGTAGTAAAACAGATGAAATCATACTACATTTATAATATAAAAATGGACATATTGAATGTGATCATTTTCTTTTCAAATTCTTGAAATAGCCAATAATAAGCCAAAATTAAACGGGAAACCCCGCTATTATCACAAAAACGACAACTACTCACCATCAGATTTTTTTGTAGTAAAATAAAAGAGTTATTATGAAAACTTGGCTTTCAGCCGGGTTTGGAAAATCAAAATACCATGTCAAAAACAAAACTATTTTTTTTGTTCATTTTAAAGGAAAACAGAGGAGGAATTTATAAAACCATGGAAACAAGCTCTTTTTGTGACTCTAATAAATATAGTCATGGTAATAAACTTAGAACGTATCGCAAGGTTGAAAATAATTTCGAATTGGAAATATATCTCAAACCCGGACCTTAACAAAAGTGTTATTTCTAAAATGGTAAAATCTAAAATTGGTAATAGCAAATTACTAATAGAAGCTGGTAGATTTACTAGAACGCCTTTAGAACAAAAAAAAATGTCAACTTTGTAAGAATGGAATTGAAGATGAATTCCATTTCCTCATTAAATGTAAAGTTTTAGAGTTTAACAGAAATATAGTCTTTTGTTATTTAAATGATATAGTTCCATCCTTTGTAAATATGTCTGAACAAGATAAATTTAGTTTAATTTTGAAAATTAAAGATGCTGACATTTGTACTGTATGTGGAGCTGGAATAACCGATATGTATGATACGAACATTCATTTAAAGCAAACATAATGTTGTTTAGATTTACATCAAGATATCATTATCAATGCAGAATGATATTTTTCAATAATTTAGGAGGGAGGTCTTTCTGCGATTTGACCATATGGGTATCCAATTTCATTTATCGAAATCTTGGCGTAAAGTATGAATAATACCTCCACGCAATGTAGATACAAAACACGTTTCTCTTATCAATGAGATATGTGTCTCTGTATATGAGTCTTGGTTTTTGGGGTTTTTTTTTGTACTATTGTACTAGAATTTTGTGAATGTCAGCTGGTAGCAATCATGTATTGGAATTTACACCAATAAAATTATTTGATTTGTTTTATATTTGTGGTTGCAAACTATTCAAAGACTTTCAGTAAGTCTTTTTAATCATCTGAGGCTTCGCAAAGAGAACACTTCCTTATAATAATTGTTAGGCTTCATTTGACTATAACCACACTACTTCCAAGATTCCTGGGAAATTTAGAGGTGTTAGATATTTACTATAAGGAAGTTAAATCGGCCGCTGTGTTTTCACGTGGTGTTTTATCGTTTCCCGAAATATATTGGATACTGGATATTAGTTACATCAATATCTAACTGTCTGGAGTGTTTTTCTTATTGTTAATCTTTCATATTTATGAAAGCTTTCTTTAGGTTATCCTATTTGAACCATTTATCTCGCAGAAAAGTTGCACACATCATGTCTCTTAGCGAACAAACAATCTTAGGTAAAGGAAGAAATTTTTTGTAAAAAAAATTGAATAGAAATAAAGAAATGAAATGTAACTATTGCCGTGGCGTCAGCCTATTCATTTACCGTGGTTTCTTTTTCTGGAATCAACGCTTCCTAAATTTGTCGCTGAAATGAACTCACCAAATTATATTCAATTGTTTCATTTGTGTGCCTAATTTCATTAATTTTGAATTGGCTAATTTACTGATTTCTGTTCACTAATGGACTTAATTTAAACACTTAACTTTAAGTTTTGTAATTCTTATATGCCATCACTGGGAATCGAATCCCTCCTTGAAATCTGTAATGTGTGACTGACATCAACACATGGACGAAACCTCTCGCCAATCAATGGGTTACAATTTAGATGTATATTATATATATAAATAAGCATACGATACACATCGGTACAACGGTAACACAGGGCTCGTATCTTTATATATACATAATAAACAATCGTATTGTATAAATTGGTAGCCGCGAGGTTAAGATCAATCAGTTATAGAGTCAAGTTAGAAGTAGAAACGTGTCGGTTTAGGTTCGAATCCCAGTTTTTTCTTTGCTGTCACTATTCTTTAGTTTTTCTGTTTTTCCTATTTTGTATGTTATTGTGGATATTTTTGTGATAATAGCGGGGTTTCCCGTTTAATTTTGGCTTATTATTGGCTATTTCACGAATTTGAAAAGAAAATGATCACATTCAATAT